TAGTAAAAAATTTTCCCAATCACAACATCCCACCCCCCAGAAAAAAATTACTTGTCAGATTCATAGATCAAATAAAATTACAGAACAAAGGATCAAATTATACTTAACAGGAAAGGCTAAACTTAATAGGAGTAGCAACATCTTCCCACCTTTTGTATTGCAGGCAAATTTACCTTAAAGCAATGCAAATTGAAACAAGGAAAAATTACGCTTGTATAGAATAGACATAAATTGTAACATATGAAATGAATTTGAACTAAGAACTATAAACATGTGTATGTAACATTAAAGAAAAATAAATACACAAAATGATATTACAATTATCAAATACTAGGGGAAAAGTCCACAGTAGTTCACACATGTGCGTTTCACAAGCATTACTTGACAACCACTTCGAGTTACCTTTACATCTGGAACCTCATTATCTTGTAGCCTCTATTTTATGAGGTACTTCAATAAAGTTGTTGGCAGAAGTAAGCTTCAAAGGATAAATTTGCGGAAGGGATCATATAATTTCACCATTGGCTTCTCATAGTTTTGTGCCATGTTCAATATTACCTTTTCCAGGAAACAGTTGAGTTATCTGTGCTAAAGGTCATTTAGCCTGTTTGGATTCTTTGACTCAACTAAGACAATTTCTCTTGAAGAAATCATCTGTGAAGTTGACTTGGGACTTCTTACCAGTTCTGGAAGATAATCTTCATAGACATGTTTTCTTAGATTTAGCCGTAAGGTATGAAGGTAACTTACATATTTTAGTAAAAACTGAAAATCAGTTAAATCCAAATCAGTCACCTAAATTTTGAATTAAGTAAGTGGGTATAAGAGGTCTCAATTTGTTAGGGTCGTTTGACCAATTATATCGGTGGTCATCCATTTATAGTAGCCTCACAATCAGTGAGCAAAGTCAACATTTCTTCATATGTGACACTGGATTTTTCCAGACACTTTTGAAGAAGTTCCTTGATATAATAAACCATTCTTTTCCCAAACCTAGCATACCATGAGACAGATTGAGTGTTGAATATCCAATTGATTTTCGTTAAAGCGCATTTCCTTTGATTGAAATCCCAGTCCAGAGATTTCAAGGCATCTGCTGCTGCTGTGAAGTTCATATTATTATCAGCATAAAGAGTAGATTATCTTTCTCTTCTAGTCCAAAATTGTTGTAATGTTTGCATAAATACTTCAATTGACAGGGAGGAAAATGTTCTAAATAAACTGCTTGCACATGTTAAAAGTACTAGTCATGCTTTGCTTTCACATAGGAAAAGAGATAACCAGATCTGCACCAGTTATTTTAACACTAGAACGGCGGGAAAATCTTACCTACTGGAAAGGCCAATAAGGGTTCATTTTGATCCGTCGATGAAAGAACTGAAATAACAATGGTAAAACAATTTTAAATGCCATACATTGGCACAAATATGTACTTTATATGTATTTCATATAATTTATATTTAATATCACATGATAATTTATTGACTTTTTAAAATACCGTAAATGTATCGAGTGCATGGCGATCAATTGGATCAGACTACAATTACTCAAATAACTCATTAATTTGATATAAGAATTAATTTTAAAACTAAACTAAAACACAATTTATATAATAATATTTTTTTTATATACTTACTCAGAGGATAATTCATTCTCTAAATCCAGAAATGAGAAATGTTCTCTGATGTTTCAGTTATATCAGTTATATATGTGTAGCTGAATAGAATATGTAAAGCATTTCATTTCTATTTAATGTTTAAAATATTAGAGATTACACATACGTATTAAGAATTAATGCAGTTAATGCAAAAATAATTTTTAACAATTTTTCCAGTGCATTTTCCGCACACAACTTTTTAACAAGATGCACAATATTCTTGAGATTTGTTTCCATTGCATCTCTGTACTTGACACTTTTTTCTCTTTATATCCATTTTCTTTTCATGTTTCTTTCTTAGAAAGCCCTCCACAAAACATCCCTCCCTTTAGGCAGATAGCCCTTGTGTGCTTTGCTATAATTGAATAATCCAATTCAATCTTTTCATGTTTTTTTCTGAAGACTCAGGAGGGATCTTCGGGAGTTTTGAAGCCATATGCACTACTCTTAACTCCTCTCATAACTTCAGTAGAAAATCTCTCCTGTTAATGGTGTTTCCTATTACACTTTTATAAATTATCCAGGCATTCAAAGCTGCAGGGGCAAAAATATTGAAAAAGATATGCACAGGCCATCATCTAAAAGCCGATTTAACTGAATATTTTTGGCATGCTTGTTCACAAATAGCCACACCATACTTTGTTGCATTGCAAAATGCTGTTGAATCGGGCAACTTCTTGAGACTGTCTTCAGTTTTTACAGTAGAATGTAATGAGCTCAGTAGAAAAGTGCTGTTGTTTCTTTTGCCTTCATAGATGGTAAGTGTGATATTATTATGTTCCACTATTGTCAACCAATAAAGATTACTACACATATTTTTCAAAGATGTAGGAATTTCTTTTCTGTTCTTTTTCATTGTGCCAACCATAGTTGTATTTTTTGATTTTAGCATTTCTGCTAATTTAATGCTAGTAAAATAGTTATCCGTGGTAATATTCCTCTCTTTGTTTAGATGTGGCTCTGTTAATTTTATGACAACATTTTCAGACAAACGTAATTGAGGATTTGCTGTTTCATCTTTTCCTAAATAAGGAAATCCTTTTCAAGAGGTATTTAGTATCAACGTTGACAGATAATCAAAATTTTATTCCAAATTTGTCAGGTTTATTAGGCATATATTGTGTAAATCTACACCTAGCTTTAGATGGGAATAATTGTTCATCAACTGTAATATTTTGTCCTGGCTGGTAGCACGTTTTGAAGTTTTCCATAAATTTGTTCCACATGTCTGATGCAAGAGCAAATTTATCAGTCTATAATCGAGTAGGTCTTGTTGTCTTTTCATCAAATCTTAAAAATCGGTTTATTTCTTTGAATCTACCTCTTGATATAAGTTTCTTTGCAAAATGGTATTTCCCACACTTCGGACCACAAGGAATATAAATCTAAGCCCTTTGCTCCTATTACTCCTTGAACGTACAATATATCGACAAAAGCATCTAACTCAGCCAGAGATAACTTCCAGTCTTTATTTTCATGTTGCCGATGAGCTTCGGATTCTGTACATTTCTTTATATGTAGCAAGATATAATCATCAATGAAAAGCTTTAAAGCACTAGACACTTTATCTTCAGAAACATGACTCTTTGCAAAAGATGTTTGTCCTGCTGGTTTCTTTTAGAACATTATAAGCATATGACCACAGACTGAATTTTTGGAATTTATTTCATTTCATATAGTGTTATCAGGAGCTGTAAAACAGTTTTGCAAATACCCTGATCCATTTTTGCCCGTTTATTTATGATGAGTTCTTCGTTTACTTCACTGTCCTCGGATTCACTAATAGTTTGCGTCTGGAATTCATTATCAGTTTCTACTGAAAAATTATCAATTTCACCTCCGTCAGTATCATTTTCAGATAGCGCCTGCAACAATTTTTTAAATTTCTTCATCCATAAGACCTCTTTTATGCTTATTAGACATATTTTGTAAAGGTTGAAAAATATCAGACTATCAGAAAACAATAGGGAATATATTTTAGCATATGATTCTCATAGCGTAAAGGAAAGGTGATAATGAACTTGATGGCAGAAGTTATATGTACTGAAATACTGATTTGGGATTACCAAGAAAACATCTGTCCTGTTTTCACCTGCAGTAAGTAAGTTGAAATAACAAACAGGAAAATACATCTGTAAAATAAACTATTTCTGAAAAGAAATGTAAGCATGAAAACCCTGCATCTACCTTCCTTGCAGTATTTTCTTCAAAGGAATAATTGCAAACAAAAGAACAACAACTTACATAGATATTACAAAGTAGTGAGACCACCCAGGTTTTTATCTCTCTGGGAGATAGTTTGAATGCAATGGAAAAATCCTTATCAGTGAATGTTTTTCATGTGTTATTTGACAATGCCTCGAGCAGAAAGAGGGATAAAAGGGTCAAAATGGCTCTTGTCCGTCGTTTTAGGAATACATGCCAATATTTCAGAAACTAACAAACCTAGAATGCTGAAAATTTTTATACAAATATTTGTTATCTATTTAGGAAAAGTAAAAAAAAATTCCAAACGATTTCTTCCAATAAAACAAAAGTAATCAATGGTCAAAAGTGTTCAGGGGTCAAAATGCCCCCTACCGCCATTCCAGTGTTAAATGATGCAACTCATTGTATTCGGTCGGTAGGCAAAAGAGCTGAAACTGGGTTGAAATATTTGGAAGTCAGCTTCTTGCATTGTATACATTGTTGTAAAACTCTTCTGACAATTCTCTGTCTTTTTTGGTACAACATGATGAAGCTTACACTGTGTACATCTTACACACATCATAATGAAGTTTACACTACATATCTGTGCCAACCATTCTTGATGTACAGTAAACTCTAAATTAACCAGGGTAATAATGAAGATGATGTCGATAATTAACTCAAAGTCACAATCTGAGGGCAGTTGATCTGTCGTCAGTTAATTGGGAGTTTGATGGTATAGTCTTTTAAAATATTTAGCAGAAATTAAGAAAGGGAAAATGTGATAACAGTACGCCTTCTTTTTTAAAATAACTGTTCAAATAAATTAGGCATTCATACATAAAAGTATTACATTGTGATTTGTATTATGTTGATGTTACATAGTTAACTGAGTTTTAAGTCAATTTATTATTGTTCAGTACAGTATTTTATGAAAAGAGCTACACAGTTCTTCCACTTTACTGAAATTTATAAATCATTCCTTGAAATGAGAAGTATATAAATTTGTATTCTTTGTTGTTAATGTAGTAAAAATAAAGCATATCAAATAATAAGCAGTTGTAAAAACTGACCATATTATGATATTAGAATGTAAAAGTTCTTATTTTTTTAATATTAAGATTGTTATTTTATTAAGTGTAATTTATTTATTTAGCTCATCATCGAACTAATCGAGAAGATCTGGAGATAGTCCGCTTTATATTTGAGGTAATTGTTTCCTTACTAAATCTGTTTTTAGATTAAAAAATTATGAAACTTATTTAAAATTTTTATTATTTTTTTTAACAGTGACCATTATTTGTTTCAGAAACTATTGGTTTTATTGCCCGAGCTTGTGAATCGAAGATGGCAGTGTCACAGTATACAAAGGATTATAAAAAAGTTTCTGCATTATGGAAATTCTGTCAAAGTATGGTGCTTTTGATTTATGATAAAAATTTAATTCTAATTTATGTATAATTATTTGCACATGAGTAAATATTATATTTTTTATGTCCATATGCATGTGTATATATATATATGCATATATATATTTTAAAATTGGTTCTAAATTTCCTTATGTATATAAAGAAAGAATTTTAGAACCAATTTTTCACAAAGACCAACAATTGAAATTCAAATAAAATAAATTTTAAAAAATCTTATAAAAGTATTGACTTATATATATATATATCTAGTTATTTATATATATATTATATATTATATATATATATATACAGGGGGCCAAAATTGTGGACACTTTTGGAAATTTTTATGTTTTTGAACTTTGTATGCTTATAGAAAATGTTACGTTTCGCAAAATGCAAACTTGTATATATCATTTTAAAGAGAATTTATTACTGAATTCAATACAAAACACAAAATTCAATTATTTGCAATATAAAAAAAGTTATATGTACTTTAATACAGTCAAAAGTCGTTAATTCGGACACCCATAATCCGGAACCTCAAAGTTAAAATCTTTCTGCGCATGCGCCGCGTTGATGCATGCCTTAAGCGTTTTACGGTGCGCGCAAGACCTTTATGACTGCGCATATGCGTCTGCGCAAGCGCAGAATACGTTTTCGCATGCACTTTTAATGTCTAACGGACGGTATAAGCTAAAATTATCTAATTATCTATTTCAGTTAATGTTGATGATTGCGTTGTTCCTTAATCTTCGAATTGAATCCGGCTCATTACTTTTTGCAGACTGTAAGAGCAATTTTATAAAAGTACACTTGAACTTTCGATTATGTCAAATAGAATTTCCGATGCTGGAGCTCCCAAAGGATCTAGAAAATGAAACTATGATTTGATGTCCATCAAACAAAAAATGAATTGCTACAAAAAATGGATAAAGGTATATCCTTTGTTTATCTAACCGTTTTGAAATCTGTTTATCAATTTCACGCTGCTCTGCGGAGGATGGGGGGGACGTCGCGGCGCGCAATGAACTGGAAGTTGATCTGTCACCATTATCGTTATCTTCAGGGAAGATGTTTTTATTTTATTCGGCTTATAATTCCTTACTAAATGTAGTATTTAATCTCGATGTACTCCGTCTTTGATATGATTTAAATCAAATTTGTCGTTATTATAAATATCACGAATACAAATCAAATAGTTTTCTGGTTGCAATTTTCTAATTTCGGCTGTGCGTAAGGTACGCATGCGCGCTTTGAAAGAAATGTTTAATAAATTAAACAAATAAATATTAAGTTTCTTTTTTTGTAAATTTTGATACCCTTTAGATCATAATTGCTCATTATTTTATAAATTACGGTATCATATTTTTAATTTTATAATTTCTGCATGCCATCTTACCAGATTTAAACTGATGATCTATAATCCGGAAAAATCGATAATCCGGAATCGCCGAAGTCCTGATGAGTCCGGATTAAAGACTTTTGACTGTATAAATAAAAAACACAGTTATAAAGTGGTTTGTAATGTCTAGCTTGCCTTGCCAATCACTGTTCTTGTTCTGAGAACCAATTAAATGTTAGTAACTGCCAGTAGAAGCTGACATCATGTTTACACTTGAAACAATTCATTATTTTGCTTTGTTCTGTAGAAGGAGGACCTGTTTCTTATACACTGCAATTACAAGTAGTAATTTTTTAAAAAATTTTTAATATTTAGTCAAGAAGCAATGACATGAAATAAAAGAGTAGATTGGACACCTAGAAAGAGATGTAATATTATTGTGTTACAAGAAAATGGTCTTTCCTATGCTGAAATTACAAGACAGGTGGGTGGTTCAGAGACTACATCTGGAGTCCAAAAGTTTTGTTTGCGATATCAGCAGACAAATTCAATAAAAAAACAAAGAAGGAAAAGGTGCACCACATCTATTGATGACAGAAGAATAAAAAGACTATGTCTCCAAGATAGAAAAATGTCATCAGCGGCCATCAGAAGTGATCTGAATGATGCTGGTGTTTTCTGTCAGTTCAAGAACAATCAGGAGAAGATTAACAGATGTTGGACTGAGAGGTAGAATTCCACGAAAAAAAGCCTTATCTTAATTTTCAGCACTGAAAAAAAAAAAAAGACTACAGTGGGCAAAGGAATCACATTAATTGGACAGATGATCAGTGGTTACAAGTTATATGGAGTGATGAAACTAAGATATCGTTATTCGGTAGTAGTGGTAGTGATGGCGCGAAAATATATAAGACGTAGAATAGGAGAAGAGCTACATCCTGACTGCATTCAAGCAACTGTGAAGAACCCAGTTAGTGTTATGATTTGGTCATTCATGTCAGCAGATGGTATTGGTCGCCTTCATGTCATCGATGGGACACTGAATGCCAGAAAATGCATTGACACTATTCTAGAACCAAAACTTCTACCTTCCATCAGAGATATCTTTCCCAACAATGCTTCGTTTATTTTTCAGCAGGATTCTGCTCCTTGCCACACGGCCAAAATATCGAAAGAGTGGGTTTGGTACAAAGAGCATTAAATCGTTGTCATGGCCAGGAAACAGTCCTGATCTCAATCCTATCTAAAATTTGTGGCACCGTTTGAAAACTCTTGTCTGAATGAGGCACCCATCAAATAAAAGGGAACTAATTGAGGCTATAATTGTTTCCTGGCATCATGTAATAACGAAAGAAGAGCTAAAAACTCTTGTCAGCTCAATGAAACGTCAATGTGAAGCTGTAATCAAAAATAAAGGGTACCCTACTAAGTAATGATAACTCACTGCAATCATCACTAATGTATATCGATAACTATTATCGTTTAACTTTTTTTGTATTGCAAATAATTAAATTTTGTGTTTTGTATTGAATTCAGTAATAAATTTTCTTTAAAATGATATATACAAGTTTGCATTTTGTGAAACGTAACATTTTCTATAAGCATACAAAGTTCAAAAGCATAAAAATTTCCAAAAGTGTGCACAATTTTGGCCACCACTGTATATATATACATATATATTTTATATTTATACACACATTCACACACACCCCTTCTTGTAAGGCCATTTTGTAGGAAAACAGAAAAGTTGCAATTAAAATTAGATGATTAAGCAATGAGAAGTATTCTTTCATTTTCACACCTCCATTAGTAACATTAGATTGAAATAATTTTTGACCTTTTAAATGCTTATATTGTATAGTTGATAGTTGAGAGCAGGTGACACATCAGTGCGTTTACCATTGGGTCAACGGTATTGCCATTTGACCACAACTTTCATGAATTACACTTTGTTTCAAAGTGTAACAGTTCTCCAACATTTATGCTTGAGCAGATTTTGAGAACAAATTCATAGTATATGTGTTGCTCTTGCATTTATGATGATGCAATGCTTGTGGTAAATTGCGTTCAGGAATACTCTTCTGGAATGTAGTTTATAAGAGAACTTGTAGAATGAAAGCTAATGACTTAGTGTATTTTATGCATGCAAAAAACCTGAAGAGGGGGAGAAAAAAGGACAAAAAGAATTGTTGGTATAATAGAATTTTCTTCAGATGGAAAAATTCTTCATCAGGACTCGTATAAATCTGCGCTTATGTTTGCTATCATAGTTATTATTTTGATGATTTTTTTTCTGTGTTCTTTCCTATTTATGAGGAAGGCTATATGTTTTGGAGTTATTTGTGGTGAATGACAGGTATGAAGCCTTTTGTTAAGTGGCATTTGAATAGATAATGCTGACCACCTCCTAATTTGGTGCTGATGCAGGTATCTGTTGATGAAGTGCATCTAGAATGTAGGGAATGCAAGTAGATAGGGAATGAGCCATGGCCAGATAGTATCCAGTTAATTTTTGGATTAATTATTAGTCTATTTAGTATCACAATTTGGAAAAATATTGAAGGTCATCATTCCCTTTTTATATTATATCCACTTCCTACTGTCATGCTGCTATTGTCCTTTGCAGATTGGTAGTGAATTGACTTCTTGGCCATGGATTTGCATAGTATGTGTCTTGTCACTGTGTCATATGCAGTTTCTTTTGCAAGTTAATCTACTTGTTCATTTCCATCATTCATTACGTCCTTTGATTCATGAAATAATAATGCACAGCTCTTCGCATCTTCTTAATATTTCTTGAATTTTGGCCACTGTCAGGCAGTTGTGTTGTATATTTCTAATACAATCAAAAGTCATTAATTCGGACACCCATAATCCGGACCTCAAAGCTAAAAACTTTCTGCGCATGCGCCGCGTTGACACATGCGCATAGGCGTTTACGCATGCGCGTAAGACCATTTACCACTGCACATATGTGTGTGCGCAAGCGCAGAATACGTTTTCGCGTGCGCGTTTTATGTATAACGGACGGTATAATCTAAAATTATCTAATTATCTATTTCAGTTAATGTTGATGATTGCGTTGTTCCTTAATCTTCAAATTGGATCCGGCTTATTATTTTTTGCAGGCTGCAAGAGCAATTTTATAAAAGTAAACTTGAACCTTCGATTATGTCAAATAGAATTTCCGATTCTGGAGCTTCCAAAGGATCGTACAAATGAAAGTATGTTTCGATGTCCGTCAAACAAAAAGTGGAATTGCTGCAAAAAATGGATAAAGACATGAAGAATGTGACAGAGAGGTTAGTGAAAACACAAAAATTTTGATTGACAAGTTAGTTGGTATTCTCGGCACAACGATTAACGGGACTTGAACAGCGGAACTTTGTAACTGAACAAGAAATTGTGTCTGTTTATAGAATTAAAGAGAAAGTATTATCACATAAAACGAAGCAACTTAAAACAACTTACATTGAAAGAAATGTTTAATAAAGTAAACAAATAAATATTAAGCTTTTTTTTTTTTGTAAATTTTGATACCCTTTAGATTATAATTGTTCTTTATTTCATAAATTAAGGTTTCATATTTTTAATTTTAGAATTTCTGCATGCTATCTTACGAGATTTAAACTGATGATCTATAATCTGGAAAAATCGATA